AAGAGTGGGGATGAAAAGGAAGGGTGAGCTTTTCCTTTTCATTTAAATCCTCTTGACTGATTTGCAGGTTCTGCAGATCAGCTTGGGAAACAAAAGGAAACTTGGAATTAAAGTATAGCATATATGTTTGCTGCATTAACAATGGAACAGAGCTCTGTAATATGCTGTGCTATTTATGTCCAAGACTTCCACTCTTTTCAGTGAAGTCTTGTATCTACCTAAAGGCTTTCATTTATTTTCTGGCTCTTTTTTTTTTTTTTTTTTTTTGTGATGGAGGGACTCACATCATTTGGTTCAGAGGGCAACAGCAAAACAAGTGGTAGTTGGAGAAGTGTATTGATATGAAGGAGGGGAATAAGAATTTTTTTTCACACTTCTCAAGATTTCCTAAGTTTTTCAGAACTTCTTCCAACAGCCCTGTTCTAAACTCAGCAAGCCTAAACATGGACTTCAGCTCTCAAGAACTCAGAGATTGCTGGGAAGCTGCAGCTCTTACTTAATCTCGTTATGATCCTTTAAGAGGGTGGTGAAAACATTCCCAAGGCTGGAGTAGGTAGGAGTATGTGTTTACCAAGGACACACCAAGGATTATAAAGGTGTGAGACCCTTTCTACAGGTATACCAGCACTCTAAGGGATGAAAGTGAAAAGCCTCCTTGCTCTTAAAGCGTTGAAGGAGAAGGGGTGAGGGCAAAGCTGAGAGAACCCAGGTTTGCCTGAGTGTAGTAATGGGCTAATGAAATGGCATGATGATGTTCTGTGTCTGGCAGCTCACTCTCTATGGCCTTTTAAAGAACCGTGAGAGAGGAGAAGTTTTTCTTATTTTCTCATTGTTTTGCCCATTTCTTCCTTCGCAGAGTTGTCCAATGATAGAAGCATTCTACAGCATATTTCCCAAGGAGGAAGAAATAATTCCTCTGGATTTTGAGCATTAGAAGAATGTGATTTTGCTCCAAAAAGCATAATAAAAGAGTTTACAGTAAATCAACTGGTATTTCTATCTCTATTCCTTACACTGTGTGCATCATGTGATAAGGTGTGGATACTTCCCAAGCAAACAATTTAGGTATCTCAGCTCCAGACTGCCAAACTTTCCAATGCTGAGCAATTATGGCTATGGCTCACATTACGTTTGAACTCTCCAGACCCTATTTCACAAAATTTTCTGTAAGGATTTTTAACTCTAAATAAAGAAAAACAACAGAGGTGTTTCAGTATTTCTGCAAAGCTTTTATGCTTGTCAGAACATATGTCAATAAAAGGTACCCAGCAATGGAAGGATTAAAGACGCACCATAGGAAGCTCTGTGAATGGCAGCACTATGTAGTGCAGGCAACATTTACTGTTCACATAAGTCCTAGACAAAGAATTACAGAGGATTATTGGTTTGTGTGTGGTTTTTTTTGTTGTTTGTTTGTTTGTTTGTTTGTTTGTTTTTTAAGTGGACACATTTGTATATCAATCTTTAAGATACCTAAAGCTGCATGGTACTTTTTTCCATATTACTGTACCTGAAATACACATGAGGTTTCTTCTGTTGGTGCTCTTTTAAGAATGTTCGTTCTGCAGCTCCTCCAACTACTGCCTCTTCATGTGAAAAACAGAACTAGTACGTTCATTCTCAAACGCTTTTATTTTTCCTGCAAGGAATTAATGACTTGGAGGTAATTCATCATCTGCTCTGTTGGGAAACAGAAACAAAGAGAAAACTAGCAACCTACACTCTAATTTTGAGATAATTACTCTGAAAAAAAAAAAAAAAAAAGGAAAAATTGCAATGAAATGCTTACTCTTTCACTCACTGAAATACAACAAGAACCACAAAAATAAATTGGATGTAGCTACATATGCAAACAAACAAATAAATAAGTAAAGATAAAAATAAAATTATTACTATTCCATTTCTTTCTTTACCTTAGAAATTAATGGAAGTAACACTTATGTCACAGTCTCATTTTATCCATCTGCAATCATCCACTAGCTTTTTCACACAACAGTCAGTACATTAATATTTACCAGTAAGGCCAATGTTTTACCTGAATTTATGTTATATAGACTCTCTTCGTCATGATGGCCTGCACTTCAATACCCTGTTCCAAAAGCTTCTCAATTATAAAAGTGAAGAATATACACTGGGAAAAAGGCTTATCTCAAAATACAGGTAAATTGTGTCCACTGCTGATGGTACAGCAGCTGGTAGTGGGAAGTGGGAGAGATACACCTGCTCATTTACAAATCCCATCTGGTTTTAAAGATGCAGTCTAGGATATGACAAGACAAGCAGGAAGAACTGACATGGAATGATTGTCTTGTGCTTGCTCAGTATTTATTCTACCGTCAGTAAGTTTTTTTTTTCCCAGAAGTGTATCTTTCTATGTAAGCTTGCCAAGGGAGAAGGAGGCCTTCCACCTTTTCCTCCATAGTACCATTCTTCACAAAGGAGCCAAGAGTCAGAAAAAAGGTCAACAGCATTTTTCAGACACTCAGCATTACCTAAAAAAAGAACTCAAAGCTCATCAATCCAACATTAAGCCTGAAGAATAAAAGCTGGATAATTTGTTTCCAGTTAAAGCCTGAAGTGTTCTGGCACTGTGTTGATACTGCTTTAAAAATATTTATTCTTAGCTTCTAGCTAAGAATGAAATATGGACGACAACTATACAACAATTAATAACACAAGTAAGAGAAATTAAGGAAGAAGAAGAACTGAGACTATTTTTACCACTAAATATTGCTCTGTTTTCTTATAGAAACAGTATTATACACTTAACAGCAGGCAGTGCTTTTAATGCAGTACATGATGAAGTAGAACAGTCACTTTTCCTCTTTTTAGTCACTTAAGTTGTAAGAAACAACATCTTTGGTTTAAAAAACAAGTATTTCAGTTAATACCACAATTCCACTGGCAAACCTGAGGGGAATATTTGGAATGATTTCAGCTCTAATGCTTAGGTCAGGTGCTTGTGCTCCCAGTGCTCAGCCTGACGTATTTCCTTCCCAAAATCCCTGGGCATTTGCAAGCAGGGCCACATCTTCCACTGCCACTCCCCAGTTTCTCCCTTTGCTCCTTCAGGCTATGAGCATCCCTCTTATAACCACTTGCTGTTCCAAATCCTGTCTTAACTACAAGGCAAGTTGGAAGAACAAAAGGAAGCAGTCACTAGAGCACTTTGCCAATCTCTCCTACCCAGAACTTGGAATTTATGTGCTAGTCGAAATCCAAAGTTTTACAGGTGGGACTGTTTATGACACTGGGATGGTCACACTTGTGATTCTGAAGTGATTTATGAACTTTTTTTTTTTTAGGTTTGTAGTTGTAACAGACTCAAAGCTAATTTCAGACTGAAAATGACACACCTGGAGGGATTTCTATGTCAGAGAACGTCATCTTCTCAGTTGAACTGCCCATAGTGTTTGAAGCTGATGCAGTTTAGACTGCTGAAGCAATCTTTTCACCACATTGCTGTAATTCCGCTTTTCAGCATGACACAAGCTTGCTGACAGCAGTGCGTGGCCACCAGTGCTGCCCTTCAGAGGGACTGAAATGCAGGTCGTGCTGTTAGCTTTTGGTTAGGCACTAATTGGGCTTTACTCTGCAGTACAGCAGCTGTTTGTGCAAAGACTTTAAGAGCCAACCTTAAGCCGGGGTAAGACCTATTTTGATCAGCACATGGGACCTCTTAGCCCTCTGAGCATAGAGGCTCTACCAACACTAAAAAATCTGCAAGGCAACCAAAAGTTGTCTTCTTTGTGAGTGAAAGTAGCATCGCCTACCTGTGAGCAGTCATTATTTGGTCTATTCTGCCATGTAATTTGTGAAAGCTAGGCTGGGAACAGACACGGGTCAGGACCGACTCCTTAGCGGTGATGGCGCTGACCAGATCTCCTCAGAGCTCGTGAGGTGTGCGGTCACCAACGGGACGCGCGGAGATGGCTTCCTAAACCCTGCCCCAGCTCTCCTTATTCAAGTTTTTTTTTTTCCCCGTGAATGAAAAAAGAAGATTTTTGCGGGCTCTCCTTCAGCGGAGCTACGGTCTCCACGAAGGAGGCTTTGCCTCAATATGGCTCTCGCTCCAGAGCCGCCGCCGGGACGCGGAGCTCCTCATACCGTGCCCTCCTGGGACGGAGAACGGGCGGTTCCTCACAGAGCCGCCGCTCCCACCGAGGTGCCGCGACCCGCGGGGCCGGGGCGGCGTGGCCGCGCTCACGGGACGGCTGCGGCCGCGGGGCGGAGTGGAAGCGGGCGGGGAAAAGTTTCTCCCGTGCTCGCCCCGTCCCTCCCTCTACACACACACACACACATACACACACACACGCACCTCTGCCTCCGCAGGCGGATGAGGGGCACTTTTGAAAATTATTTTCTTTCCACACCCAGCCCTCGTCTGACATCACTTCTGCAGGAGGGCGGGAGCAGCCCCGCCGCCAGACGGTCGCGGAGAGCTCCGCCGGCCCCCGCGCACCGTGAGTACCGCGGCCGGTGGGGGTGGGGGGGCGCGGGGCTGTGCGGGGGGAGCGGCTGTGCCAGCGAGGGGACGGAGAAACCGAAAAAAAGAAGAAGAAAAAAATATTTATATGTATATCAAAGAGTTGGGGGGGGGGCTTTGTTTACTACTACCCGGGCCCGGCTGCCGCCGCTTGCAGTGCCGGCTGTGAGCAGCCGCCGCCCCGCTCCGCTCCTCGCTTTGGGCGCGTTGGAGGAGCGGGTGGCCGCGATGTCTCGAGCCGCCCTGCGCTGGGTTCGCCTTCTCCTCAGGGTCCTTCCTTCTTCCTTTCTTTTTTTCCCCCTCTTTTTTTTCTTTCTTTTTTTTTTTTTTCTTTTTTTTTCTTTGTTGATGTGATTTGAGTGGAGTTTGCGTGTACTACAGTAACGCTTGATTGTTTTTGGCAGCCGGACCCCCCCTAGTGGAAGAACTTTTATATATATAACGCGGCGCAGACTTCGGTTTGTGAAGTTTTGTTTTTTGCCAGCTTTAGGTTTCTTTTTTTTTTTTTTTTTTTCCGCTTCAGTCAAACCACGGTTTCAAAAACCCGCTCCGACGCTCTCAGAGGGGCTGTTCGTGGCTGCAGAGCCCCGCGGCCCCGGCAGGGCGGTGTTGGCAGCCCGCAGTTCGGTGCCCGCCCCGGGCAGGCGGCTTTCAGCAAGGCGGGTTGCTCTCATTACGCAGTTGTGGAGGTCAGCTCCTTGTTTGGACATCTCCAGGAAGAGCTCCCACTGCCTCCTTGCTTCAGCTCGCTTCCCCGGCGCTGCTCACAGCCTGCTGCCACCGTGAAACCCGCAGCTCGGCCTTCTCGTTAAGTTCCTGGCAGCTTAACTTGTTTGCATGGTGCGGGATTATTACTTTTATATATATACATATATATATATATAAAATATATTTTCCCCTGGGAATACTTTGTAAATGATGAGTAATTGTTACAGTTGAGCGTCTTAGAAGTATCTGACTTCATTACAGGTGTGTGGAGAAACTCTTGAGATTAGCTTTTCACTTAGGCACGTTTTCATGGAGCTCTGTAGGAGCTTTGAAAATAAACAGCTAGGGTTGGCTGGACTCCATCAAAAAGAAAAAAAGAAGAAAAAACACTTTATTTTCCTTTACTTTCAGACTCCATACATACAGGGTTGGTATGTTAGCTATATAAAATAAGCCTTCTTTCTTGCCGAGCAGATATTTTTTTTCTGTCAAATGAAATGCAATGTTGTGATTCCTGTATCTGCTCTTTTGCTTTGATTTTGAAAGCTTTACTCCCCAGAAAAGCCCTGCTGGCAATGGGATGGCAGGTGGCTGCAGGTGGGCAGGCAGCAGCGGTGGCTGGGCATGATGGGTGCCTGGACATGGACTTTATGAGGGCAGTAAGCTGAGATGCTGTCCTCTGCACTCATTTGTGAACTTGTAAAATCGATCTGGAGAATGGGTACCTGGAGGAAAATTGATCCTTGGTGCTGAATACAGTTGTGCATAGTTTGTATCATGTCAACTGCATGGCTAACATGGATTTACCGAGTCAGTTGCGTACCCTGCCAGGCTTATTCTGATGAAACTAGGAATTATTCTGCCAGCCAGGGAGTCATCAACATTAACTCAAAGTGAAATACAATTATATCATGAGATCTGTAGTGAGATGACCAGTTTCTTGTTAGCATACTTGTTTGGGAAGGAAAACAGTCTGTTGGTATAATTTAAAATAAAAACAACATAATACCAGTAGACAAGACACTGCTGGTGGTGTATTCTTTATTTGTGGTCTCTGGAAGGACTTCTGTCGTAAGCACCCAAACTGTGTTGATTATGCTGTGGATCTGCCAGGGAGGAAAGACACTGTATTTCTATTTGCTTACACAGATTTAAAGCTCTTGCTAATAATGGAAATTGTTCAACGGACAGAGCCAGTCCAGGTTGGAGGCTCTCAGATGAGTTCTGTTGCAATTCTCAGATGCTGTAGTTACTCTTTCTGGCAAACACGGCTTAAATGAAATTAACATCACCAGCTTCATCTAATACCCACTGCTGGTTAATGCATTTGTTGCCTCATGACTTATTAGCATCTCTTGCTTCACAGTTGTTTTGTGTCTTTCTCTTCCGTTTTCATGACTTTTCTTTTATGGTGCTGTTTATCTTAGGGTTGTTTCCCATCTTGGGCTTGAAGTTCTTAGAATGATCAGAAGAATGTTGTACTGAGGAGTCCCATTTGGATATTTAGAAGGGCAAGGCCTTCCTCAGTTTTTGCTAATTATATCAGTTGTAGTTTGTCTCTTCTCAGTGCTGTTTGCCAGCCCATTGGAAATGAGGTGTTAGGCAGCACAAGGGGACTTCTTTTCACCTTAGTGCTTTGTATATATTCTGATTTTCCAATTAGACTTCATGTTCTATTTCTGTCTTGAATGACACCACCACATAAATCTCTGCAATAATGCTTTCAGCTAAAGAGATAAGTAGGTCTCTGGGACAAGACCACTTGTATTGCTAGCCAGCAGAAGATGCACTTTCTGGGTCCTGCTCCATGTTCCTGTTGGAAGAAGACCTGGCAGAATAAGGCACTGTGTTATTCAAGAACTGATAAGAAAGAGATTTATCCTGAAGTGTACCAAACACTTTATATATAAAATTCACTCAGTGCTTGAAAGGAGACAAATTTGAAAGGAGAAAGGAACGCACTTACTGAAGTCACGTTGGAGTCAGAGGGAAAATGGGGGGAGCATAACCACAGCAGTAAGGAATTCCATTCATGGAGCTGTTCAGCATTTGTTAGGTTTTGTTTGTTTTTTGGATACTCAAAGCAAACTAATGATTGTTGTGGTGTGGGCTCTGTATTCGCTTTGTTGAAAGCATTACTATTTTAGAGAGGAGATAATTTTGTAGAATGTGTCTCAGTACATCAGGTAGTGTTCGTGACTTCATCAGGAAGATAAGCATCTCAATTTTCAGAAAATAGATCTTGCTGGGTGGGATTCAAGAGAGCGCCTGATGGCTTGAATTCATCCATCAAAGGAATTTTTGTTCATTCACCAAATGGGGAAAATGTAATTACACCTTTTTATTTTGTCTATGAAGTTTCATGGGCAGGTTTAATGATGGTATGTGTATGCCAAGTGGAGCCTCATAATTTGGGTGTGACCTCAAAATACAACCCTCTGGCAGTGGAGAGATATTCAAAGGAGGTTGTAGGTTGGGCAGAAGGTGGACTGACTCAGGCACACCTTAGAGATGGCTATGGGACATACATTTATGGGTGACTTCTCCAATTCTTAAACATGACATGGTGTCTGGAATGACACAGACAGAAAGCGTGAGTGTCTAATTGAGGTGCTAAGTGGCACATGAAATTTACACCCTTCTTTCAGGCAGAAAGGAACCTTCCAAAGTACCCACATATCCCTGTTGAGATGTGTGTGCTGCTGCTGAGCTCTTCAATCAGTTTACAGACTCGCTTGGTCTCTAGGGCTGACAGTTCTCAATACACGGGAGCAACAAATCAGCAGTGTAATTCAAACAAAAAACAAACCGTAGTCTGGAGACTGCAGGAAGAGCCTAATGCAGGCCTAAAGAGGGTGAGCCTGCCCATTTTATCATGTGCTAGCATGCTCGATGGGGCCTTTGCCTGGGAGGTCAGCCTGTGGTGAAGCAGGCCCTGTATAGGCAGCCAGCTTGGCCAAGGAGGGGCTGTGGGGCAGAACAAGGCTGGCGCAGGCAGGAGCTGGCTGGGCTCGGTTGCCAGAGAGCAGCCAGAGTGCAAAAAAGCAGCCAACTGGTGCGTGCAACTCTACAGTGAAGAGGTGTTACAAGTGCTCCTACCTAAGCTGGTAAAGTTCATTTGGCAATCTTTAAGCTTTATTTTCAGTTGCACTGGTTGCAAATTAGAATGTAAAAACAGCCTTCAGAAAGTTGATTACTTGGTTGAGTATTAAGACCAGTTATATGCTACCATGTTGCTGTGAAACAACATAGTAGTAATAGAGGAAGAATTTGCTCTTTTCATTTTATAGCCAAGTGCTCTACAGTCAATAGGGATATATTTTAACACTCTTGATAGATGATGTGTAAACTCTGAAATAACTAAAACTAAAATTTCTCAATACAGAGCAAGTCATAGCCAAATCAAAACAAGCAGTTTGAAAATTTTACAACAGTGAGTATAACACAGTTAATTGCTAGCAATTTCCATAGAGCATCTGCCAAAGTTAAAACAATATCAGCTTTCGTTTCTACTGAATTAAATGAATTGCTTTCAATCTGGAAAGACAGATTTTTTTCTGCCTTTGTTTGTTGGTTAATTAGGTGGAACAACATAAATCACTCAAGCTGTTCTTTGTATCTGGATTAATCTTTGGATAAGCAGGAGCCTGTAGTCAGTCAAACCCAGGTTCTGAGCTTTGCTCTCAGAGCTCTATTATTGTCTAGAATTAATGCTGCAGGTGCGTTTCGTTTTTTTTTGTTCTTTTTGCTTTTTATTGGATCCGACCGATGACACATTTAAACTGTCAACCTGATGAGAAGGTCTCGTGTTACACTTGGTCTGTGCCTCCGTGCCCTGACAGGTACTGAGCGGGCACAGCCTCAGTGCCAGAACGTGGCCGCGTGGTGATGGAGTGCGGGTGAGGCCAGGCCACACCTTGGCTCAGTTTTTTGCTGCAAGAGTGGGTTCCCAGGCACGTCTTACAGCTGGCAAAGCTTTTCTGGTGCTCCTGTGTCGTTGCCTAGCTCCACGAGGTCAACTGAGGCTGGAGGTGGGGATGTGCTGGTAGCCTGTGCCGAGCTTGGCTGCTTCAGACCAGTTCTGCTGAATGTGGGAAGGAGTGGAGGCCTGAGGACACCTTCACGAGGCCAGATCTCACTGCTCTTTGGAGCTTGCTGCCCACCTGAGGAGTGAGTTCTGCCTTCAAGTGGACTGCATGCTATTGGTCCTATGATCACGCTCTATTATTACTCCACTGTACAGTCCAACAGTCAGCTTTGTTCGCAGCAGTACCTGAAGTTCTTGGAAGCTATGAGATAATTCTGCTGAGTGCCAAGGCCATGTCGATCCTGCAGGAGGATACTGCAGAAAATGTGGAGGCCTAAACCAGGCTGCTGGGATAACCTTTTGCAGGAATATAGAACCAGAGGGCTCTTTTGGGCCTGCTCCTTGCTTAACACTCTATCATATATAGTATAAAAAGACTGGCTTTTTTTTTCTTTTTTTCTTGTTGTAGTGTCTGTGAGATTGCTCCAAGAACCTGAGAGCTCTGAGAGTTATTATGTCCATCCTGAATGTGCTCACACCTGATTTATAGCTATTTGTTCTCATCTTTGGGTTACGTTATTCTTTTCCCTTCTATGTGTCCTAATGTGTAAGAAACTGTGGTGTTGTTTTTCCCCCATTTCACAAGCATATTAAGAAGCTCAACCTATATGTAATTTAGAGTATTTTATAGTACTTTTTAGATGCCTCTGTGAAAGTTAAGAGAATATATGCATATTTGGTAAGAAACCAAAGCCAACACTACACGAGCAGTTCCTTCTTTCACATTACTGCTGGATTTTCCCAAACAGTGTGTACCTCTTGAGGTACAGCAGATCTCTTGAACAGATTGCTGCCATGGGCCATCTTTCATTAAAGACAAGATTTTGTTAGCATTTCTCCAAAGGCATGTGACTATTTCAGCATAAGCTGAAGGTGGATGAGCAGATGGAGGAGGACACAAGCAACAGCCTTGATGGGAATTAAGAGATGGTGTTACATGCCTTACACCAGTGTGGATTATGCTGAACAGGCTAAACCTCAGATTATGGTTACCTAGCAGAAAAGTACAGTTACATGGTGGTTTTATGGAAAATGAAGAATATTG